CCATAGGAAGGCACATTCTTTCTTTTATTCCGACGTTTAACTTTCACTCTTGTCTTATTAAGAGCGATTAACAGTATTGGATACAATAAATCCATTTCGTTCTGTTCCTACTTACCTTTTGACATGGATTTGAGAGGTCTGTTCTTCGGGTTTAAAACCATCATTAAGATCACCTACAGAGTGTCAGACTTGTACGTTTAATTGAGAAGATGTATTGGTTTTCGATAAATAAGGCCATATGGTAAGCGTTACGTTTGCAGATCTTTAACATGATTTACGGGACGACTTCTCACTTTCCTGGCTTGTACTGTACGGTTTAATGGCACTTTGAAAATCATAACGTCCGAGAGAGATAAGGAGAAAAGTGAACAGGTCGTGCTAATTGATATCGGTACTCTCAAAGCGACAGTAGGTACGTAAGTCAAAAAATGACATTTTGCAGAAAGCGAATCAAAGTGTTTTAAAATAGTTCGAGATGATTCTGCATTTATTGAAAATAGGCACCGGCATGAAAAATAGTTTGTAATTTTTATAAATAGCGGCACTCACATGAAACTAAACTTGTTTATTCTTAATTGGTTTTACGGATTATTGAATTTAAAAGGCAATTTACATAAAAACCAAATATAAAATACCAAATAAAAACGAAATACGTTAAATTACAGGTTTTCATTTTGTTGCAAGCGAATAAATTTGTTTCTTGATATATATATATATATATAATTGATATTTCCTACAATTTTTTTTTGGTCTCTTAAAATATCAGATCTTCAAAATCTTTTTCATAAAATTGAGCCAATAATTAAAAAAAATTTGAAAATCTTAAAAGCTTTAAACTCTTGAAATTTTAGAAGACTGTAGCTGTTAAAAGTGCCTGTAAATTTTTGTGTGTTTTAAAATTTTAAAATTTATATATATTTCAATAACTCTATTTCTAAATGGATCGAAACTTTAAACAAATCTCGGTAATAAAAAAATTTAATATTTTAAAAACTAAAAAAAATTAATCTAGAAATTAATTTCTAAATATATACAAGATTTCGACATTTCTAAACACAGTATGTATGTGGTATATTTTAAGATCTTAAATCTTTAGAGATCTCCGAAGATACTCCGAAGATACTCCTAGAACGTAAAAGTTCCTATAATTACATCCTAATGATCTTCAGTCAAATAAGGATCTTTTAGTTTGCTTTGAGTTTTTAGAAAATGTAAAACTTCTAAAATTATCAATAATTTTCACAATGAAGCCACTGGTTTCAAAAATTTTAAAGATCTTAAAAATTTCAAATTTATAAAATTTTAGAAGACCAAAAATTCTTAAAGTGTCTGTAAGTTTTAAGATATTTAAGGTAGATTAAAGATTTAAGAAAACCTAAAGATTTTAAAATATATACGGAACAATGTAAAAACTATAAGAACTTAATGATCTTCAGTATTAAAAGAATCTTTTAGTTTACCTCGAGATTTTAGAAAATTTAAGACTTCTAAAATTTCTAGTAATTGTAAAATTGAAGTCGCTACACTAGTTTCCAGAATTCTGAAGATCTTAAAAGCTTCAAATTTCTAAAATTTTAGAAAACAATTATGATCTTAAGGTTTATGTAAATATAGTAAAACATTAAAAAGTAAATTTTTGAAAATCTACAATATTTCAAAAATTCTAAACACTGGATATCATATGTATATTTTAAGACCTTAAAATTCTTTAGAGATCTTTGAAATAAAATGCTCTTAGAAAATCCAAAAGCCTCAAAAATTTTAACGATCAGTAGCTTAAAATTGCTAAGAAACGTAAATATTTTGAGACGAATATCAAGGTTTCCAAAAATTGTGAAAATTGCAAATATTTCAAAGATTTTATACAGTTTTAAGAACTCTAAAGATTTCAGAGATTCTAATAATTAAAAAAAATCTAACAGAACTAACTCTTGTTTCTAAAGATTTACAAAATAATAAAAATTATAGATATACTTTAAATGTTCCATATTTCCAAGATCCTATATGATCTGTGTCTCAATACCCCGCCAATTAAAAAAATCTAAAAACAATAGATTTCGAAAGATCTGCAAGATTTCAAAGTTTCTAAATACTGGATATCATATATTTTAAGATCTTAAAATTCTTTAGAGATCTTTGAAATAAAATATTCTTAGAAAATCCAAAAGCCTCAAAAATTTTAACGATCAGTAGCTTAAAATTCTAAGAAACGTAAATATTTTGAGACCAATATCAAGGTTTCCAAAAATTGTGAAAATTGCAAATATTTCAAAGATTTTATACAGTTTTAAGAACTCTAAAGATTTCAGAGATTCTAATAATTAAAAAAAATCTAAGAGAACTCACTGTTGTTTCTAAAGATCTACAAGATAATAAAAATTATAGATATACTTTAAATGTTTCATATTTCCAAGATCCTATATGATCTGTGTCTCAACAGACCCCACCAATTAAAAAAAATCTAAAAAAGTAGATTTCGAAAGATCTGCAAGATTTCAAAGTTTCTAAACACTGGATATTACACATTTTAAGATCTTAAAGTTCTTTAAAGATCTTTGAAAGATAATATTCTTAGAAAATCTTCCATCATTATAAAACTCAAGCCAATATTTAAAAAAGGAACTTGAAGATCATACAAGCTTTAGATTTTTAAAATTTTAGAAGACTGCAGATGTAATGTAAAATGTCTGTACATTTTTTGATGTTTTAAAATTTTAAAATTTATGTGTATGTTCCAATATCTCTATTTCTAAAGGGATCAAAACTTAAAAAAAAATTATAATTTTTAAGACAATTTTCTTTCGTAGATCGTCTAAAAATTCTCAAAAATTTCAAAAATTCTGAAGATTACAGATATTCCAAGAATTTTATAGAGTTTTAAGAATTCTAAAGACTTCAGAGATTCTAAAAATTTTAAGAAAACAAACTTCTTTTTGTAAAAATCTACATGATAATAAAACTAGATGTCTTCTCAAACCCTACAAATTTTAAACATATAAAAATAAATAAATTTCTACAGATATGTAAGATTTCAAAATTTTTAAACACTGGATATGGTATATTTAAAGTTCTTTACAGATCTTTCAAATATATCTAATATTCTTAGAAAATTTAAAAGTTTCAAAAATTTACAATAATTATAAAATGAGGCCAATAATTAAAAATAATTTTGAAGATCTTAAAAGCTTCACATTTTTAAAATTTTAGAAGACTGCAGATCTTAAAAGTGTGTAAATTTTTGGATGTTTAAATTTTAAAATTTATTTATCTATATATTTAAATGACTATTTCTAAAGCGATCACAACTTTAAAAAAATGTATGATCCTTTTAAGACCATTGTTTTTACCTCTTAGGTCATTTGAAATTAAAATGATATCGGTAAAAAGAAAATTAAATATTTGAAACATTTCCGGGTAAATCCCTCAAAGGATCTCAAAAATTTTAGGAACGTCAAAAAGCCTAGAGATTCTAAAATTTATAACAAAATTAACTGCTGTTTCTAAAGATCTACACGATTATAAAAAAATAAAAAAAAATATTTCTAAGGATCTACAAAATTTCTAAACTCTGTTATTATATTTTAAGATATGTAATATTCCTAGAAAATAAAAGTTTCAAGAAAATATTCTACAAAATCTAATGATCCTAAAACAAGTGGAACAGTTTTAAAGATAATAAAGATAATAATTTCCTAATGATCTTCATGATAATAAGGATCTTTCAAGCTTTTCTTAAGTTTTTAGAAAATTGAGATTTTTTCAAAAACTTTCAATAATTATAAAATTGAAGCTACTGGTTTCAAAAATTTTGAAGATCTTAAAAGCTTCCAATTTATAAAATTTTAGAATACCACAGATCCCTAAAGTATCTGTAAGTTGTAAGTTGTTTAAAGTCACTTAAAGATTTAAGAAATCTAAAGATTTTAAAATATATGGAACAGTTGTAAAAATAATAATATTCTAATGATCTTCAGTCTTAAAAAGATCTTTTACTTTATCTTGAACTTTTAGAAAATTTAAAATGTCTAAAATTTCCAGTGAAAATAAAATTGAAGTCACTAGTTTAAAAAATTTTGAAAATCTTAAAAGCTTGAATTTCTACAATTTAGACGACTACACATTCTAAAAAAAATATCATCTTAGATCTTTAATATCATATTTTTTTTATCAATGTGGTCATTTCAAATTAAAAAAATCTATGTAATAAAGAAAATAAATAAGGGTTTCAAAAATGTCTTTAAGATACATTCCTAGAAATTCTTACAGATTCTACGAAACTTAAACATTCTAAAGCCAATGGAATAATTTTGACGATAATCACATCCCAAGGATCTTAAGAATAATAAGTAACTTTCAGTTTATCTACAGTTTTGAGAAAATTTTAAATTTCTGAAATTTCCAGTAATTTTAAAGTTGAAGCCACTGGTTTGAAAAATGTTGAAGATCTTAAAAGCTTTGAATTTCAAAAATCTACAAAAACAATTATAATAATCTTTAGGATAGATTTTTTTATCATTACAAAGGTTTAAAATTTATACATATGTAAATATTTAAATAACTTTGGTTCTAAAGAGATCAGAAATTTGAAAAATTTAGCGATATTTAAAAAAGGAAATTAAAAATTTAAAAGATCAAAATATCTCGAACATCTAAAAATGCGATCCTAAAAGTTTTCGAAGTCTCAACGGTTCTAAAAATTGTCTTGTTCTTGAAAACTCAAACGAACTAATGATATTTTAGTTTACCTTGAATTTTTGGACAATCAAAATTTTTAAAATTCTATCAAAACCGACGATCTGATAAAATTTCTGCTCGCAGTTATCTTTTGCCATTTCTTGAGAAAAAATTTCAACGTTTAATAAGTTATTTTTTTTTATTTAAGTTTGCCTAATTTCGGACTCCAACAGGTGTCCTTTCCACTCAAAATACGTCAAACTTGTCAAACCGAAAAACATAACCAAAAACAATCCACAAAAACCAATCTCGTTTTTTTGTTTCAGTGCGGTCCCATCATTGAGGGCAACATGATCACGATGGAGTGCCAGCCAGGGGGTCACGGAGCACACCTGGGGCACTCCATGATGATGGACCCCTCCTCGGGCTCCGTGCATCATCAGGACCAGGAGCACAAAAAGAAACGTAAGTGAATACCACTCTCCCCGCCCCACCACACCTCTTCGGAAGCAATTAATTATTTTGACTTTTTGTCGAAACTTATAAATTCGCGTCACTCGGCACGTCTTCGATCCCACCGTATAAATTTTGACGCTCTTTGACAAGCCTGCATAATGCATAATTCAGAAAGCTGCGTTTTCGAACAGGAAAACTAAATTTAAACGATAAGCGTGAAAATGTGCAATTTAATTGGTTCTCACAGAAGTCAGCGAGATTGCGATAATGGTATAATTATTGGTATTATTGGCGTGTTTGATGGAGTTGGAAAAAATGTGTCAGTGGAAGCGGATTTGATTTATTAGGTGGTTTTGTGTGCTGACGGATCAAAGCAATTCGAAAATTGTGTGCAGTGAGTGAAATTTGGAATTACTTTAAGATAACGGATTAAATGGGAATAAATTAAAATTCGACGGCTTCATGGGTGATCGATTCGCGATTGTTGACATGGGAGTTGTGGAAATCGCAGATCTTGGAACGGAAAGACGGCGATTTTTTGTAGATACGTAAGTTCAACGGGTACAAATTGCTTGGCTTTAATTAATATTTGTTCTGCGAATTCGCTCAGAAAAACTTGAGAAATAAGTTGTTTATTTTCTGCAAAAACTTGTAATTACACAACAGTTTATTGCTAATACGTATATTAACAATAATCGTACAATCTTAATTGAGTGATTAATCCGTTCAAATTTTTAACAACACTTTTTTAATCACAATTACTGCAAACTTTCTAAGGACAATAATTAGTAATAAATTATTATTTAAACTTATAATAATTCGTGTTAAAGCTTAAATGAGTGATGAATCGAATTTATTTATTTCCGTCTGTCTGTCTGTCTGCCGTCTGTCCGGATTTTTATTACACAGATAATCTTCTAAACCACTGGACCGATTGTTGTAAAATTTTGTACGTGTATTAGGAATATCACGTAAATGGTAAACACGCTAACCGAAAATTGGTTAACCTCCAAATTTGATCTTGTTCTTGATGCTTTTGGGACAACTGATGACATTCAATGTCCGAGCAATATTGAATGCGTCATCTCATGAATCAAAACGAGGCGAACCTTGAATGAGTAATCATAGTGCATAACAACGAGATTAATTTAATAATGAAACCATTAGAAACTCATCCACTAACCCAGACATGTATTATTTTGTCCAAAACCGCCGCAAACTTGTTTTGTTTAATTTGTTTCTTGGGCGCAGAAGTTTCTCACGTTACCACTGTGGTTTGTCAATTTTCCCTCGCCCCATCCCACAGCTCATCTTAGCCAGAACCACAATACCAATCATCTCCAAAAAGTCTTAATTCGATTCCCAGCTTTTTTTCCGAAAAAAAAACCCATCCCGATCACGTCCTGTAATAAACCCCGAAAAATCGATAACCTTTAAATTAAGCCCGAAATGATCCATAATCAATGACCATTAACCCATTGCCTTTGTGCGTGTCCACCCACATCCCGGCATTAACTTCCACGTTAAGCATCTCCTTTAAATTAAATCAATCACAAAATTCATGGTGTCGTATTTCAGAGGAAACACGGTTCCATAAAAGCGGCTTGCGTCGGCCGCTTCGTTTTTGGCGTTTTTTGAACACGGTGTAGACGCGTTGACTTGCTTGGTCGGTTGAGATGTGTTTATGTGCGACTTCGGGATAATGTAGAGGCCGGACGACCGGTGTAATGGCTTGTAAATCGGTGCCAATATGATCTTTAGTGGATTCACCGACCATTCTTAAATTGTTATTTCCAGATTATAATTTCAAGCAGGTTTTAAGTGATACCTTGTTTTGTTGTGTAGACAGCCTACATGGTTGATGTTACGTTAAACGGCTTATCGGTTTATGGCGATGTGCGGATAGGCAGACAGCCATTAGGAGACTGACAATGTTTTACTTATGGAATTTCAAAAGCATCAATATAAACAGTCAGTTGTATACAGTTTTTGCAAAATTACAACATTATTTGCGTCACTTGCAAATTTCGCATCAAATTTTATAAAATCACGCATTCCTGTACTTGTAGTTTACGAATCCGCCTCGATTTTTTACCCCAAAAAATCCAAATTTTATAACAACATTTTGTGGTAATATAACAGGAATACTGATTAACCACACAACAGCTGAGATAGTTACAGCGTCTTCTCATGGGTTAGTCGAGTCAATCGGACAACTCGCTACTTTCATATTTTCTCGACGTTTCATGACCTCTAGAAGGGGTCCAAAAAAAGTGGTCTCCCGTCTTCTTATGATATATTATAATTATGACTATATGTACTTGGTTTATCAGTGCACTGATAGTTTTTAGAATTACTTACAGGGTGATTCAACAAATTTTGAATAATTAAATCGGTAACGATTTACTCCATTTCCCAAAAATTTGAGAATACAATACTGCTATGATTAATATTATACTGCATTTATCAAAATTGATATACGTTTCCTTGCAAAAATGTTGATGTTTTTTTTGATTTCACAATTTTTTTTTTCATTTTATTTATTTTTCAAATTTTCAATTTCTCGATTTCCAAATTTTTTAATTTTTCGATTTACCGATTTTTCGATTTTTCAATTTTTGGTTTGTTCAGTTTTTCAAATCCTCGATTTTTATTTTTCATTTCCCAATTTAACAATTTTTTGATTTTTCAGTTTTTCGTTTCTTCAATTTTTCGAATTATTAATTTATAATTTTTCATTTCACTGATTTTCAGTTCTTTAATTTTTCGCTTTCTTCGATTTATCATTTCTTAATTTCACAATTTTTCGTTTTTTCGTTTTCTTTATTTTTCAATTTTTCGTTTTTTCAGTGTTTCGGTTTTATAATTTTCCATTTTTCGTTTCCTCAATGTTCCGATTTGGAATTTTTCAATTTTGCAAATTTTCAATTTCACAATTTCCTAGTTTATTTTCCTTATTTTTTCAATTTTTCGTTTTTTCAGTGTTTCGGTCTTATAATTTTTTTTTCAACTTTCATTTTTTCAATTTTTTAATTTCTCGACTTCCAAATTCTTTAATTTTTCATTTTTTCGATTTACAATTTTTCAATTTTTTAGTTTCCCCATTTTTAATTTTTAGTTTCTTCAGTTTTTCGGTTAACAATTTGTCGCTTTCTTGGATTTTAGTAATTTTTTAATTGCACAATTTTTTTTTCATTTTCTTTATTTTTTCAATTTTTCGTTTTTTCGTTGGTTCGGTGCTATAATTTTTCTTTTTTAACTTCAATATTTTCAAATTTTCAATTAGTCCACTTCCAGATTTTTCCATTTTTCGTTTCTTCAATGTTTCGATTTGCAATTTTTCGATTTTGCAATTTTTCGTTTTCTTGGATTTTATCATTTTTTTATTTCACTTTTTCATTTTATTTATTTTTTCAATTTTTCAATTTCTCGACTTTCAAATTACTTCATTTTTCGTTTCTTCAATTTTTCGATTTGAAATTTTTCAATTTAGCGATTTTTCGATTTTTTGGTTTCTCAATTTTTAATTTTTCGATTTTTCAGTTTTTCGATTTTTCAGTTTTTCGTTTCTTCAGTTTTTCAAGTCCGCGATTTTCATTTTTCATTTCTCAGTTTTACAATTTTTTGCGTTTTAATTTTTACGTTTCTTCAATTTTTCATGTTCTTAATTTAAAATTTATCATTTTCTCAATTTTCAGTTTTTCAATTTTTCGATTTTACAATTTTTTGATATCAGAATTTTTCGTTTTTTCACTTTCTTCGATTTTATCATTGTTTAATTTCACAATTTTTCCTTTTTTCATTTTCTTTATTTTTTCAATTTTTCGTTTTTTCGCTGGTTCGGTTTTATAATTTTTCTTTTTTAACTTCAATATTTTCAAATTTTCAATTAGTCGACTTCCAGATTTTTTCATTTTTCATTTCTTCAATGTTTCGATTTGCAATTTTTCAATTTTGCAATTGTTCGGTTCCACAATTTTTCGTTTTCTTCGATTTTATCATTTTTTTATTTCACAATTTCATTTTTTTCATTTTATTTATTTTTTCAATTATTCAATTTCTCGACTTTCAAATTACTTAATTTTTCATTTCTTCAATTTTTCGATTTGAAATTTTTCAATTTGGCGATTTTTCGATTTTTTGGTTTCTCAATTGTTAATTTTTCGATTTTTCAGTTTTACAATTTTTTGCGTTCTAAGTTTTCCGTTTCTTCATGTTCTTAATTTAAAATTTATCATTTTCTGGATTTTCAGTTTTTTGATTTTTCGGTTTTACAATTTTTTGGTATCATAATTTTTCGTTTTTTCGTTTTCTTCGATTTTATCACTTTTTAATTTCATAATTTTTCGTTTTTTCAGTGTTTCGGTTTTATAATTTTTCTTTTTCAACTTTAATTTTATCAATATAGCGATTTTTCGAATTTACTATTTTTTAATTTTTAGTTTTTCGATTTTTTGGTTTCTCCGTTTTAAATTTTCGATTTTTCAATTTTTCAAGTTCTTAATTTATAATTTAATTTTTCATTTTCTCAATTTTCAGTTTTTCGATTTTACAGTTTTTTAATTTCACAGTTTTTAGTTTAATTTTTTTCTGTTTTATAATTTTTCTTTTTTAACTTTAATTTTTACAAATTTTTCCATTTTTCGTTTCTTCAATTTTTCGATTTGAAATTTTTCAATTTAGCAATCTTTCGATTTACTATTTTGTCGATTTTTCGTTTTTCGGCTTTTTGATTTCTTCATTTTAATTTTATCGATTTTTCATTTTTTCGTTTCTTCAGCTTCTCAAGTACTCAATTTTCATTTTTCATTTCTTATTTTTGCAATTTTTTGATTTTTCGGTTTTTCGTTTCTTCAATTTTTCCGGTTCTTAATTTATAACTTTTCTTTTTGTCTATTTTCAGTTTTTCAATTTTACAATTTTTGATAACGTAATTTTTGGTTTTTTCGTTTTCTTCGATTTTATCACTTTTTTCTTTTTCAGGGTTTCGGTGTTTTCAACTTTATTTTTTCAATTTTTCAATTTCTCGACTTCCAAATTTTTTGATTTGCAATGTTTCAATTTTTTGCAATGATATTAAAATTTTCCTCAATTTTTCAAGTTAATTTTTATTTTTCATTTTTCCTCTTTTTTGATTTTCATTTTTTCGATTTTATATTACAATTTTTTATTTTTTTGTTTCTTTTATTTATTCAGTGTTTCTTTCAATTTTATAGTTTTTACTTATTCAGTTTTTCAAATTTTCAGTCTTTGTAAAAAATCATCTTCGTTTTTCCAATTTTCAAGTCTTTCAAGTTCCCAATTTTTGGATTTCTCAATTGTCCGATTTTCCGATTTCTTTAATTTTCAATATTTGGATTTTTCCCTTTTTCGATTCTTCAATTTTCAAGTTTTATTTTTGATTTTTCAGTTTTACAATTTTGCAGTTTCTCCATTTTTTTGATATGAATAGCTGAAAACTGAAAAAACTGGAAATTGAAACAAAAACTAGAAACGGGAAACTTAAAAATCGAAAAAAAATAATGTGTTGAAAAATTGGAAAAAACAAAAAACGCAAAAGCGAAAAATTAGAAAACCCAAAAATTTTGCTGAAAATTTATCGAGAAATTGTAAAATTAAAAATCGAAAAATCCAAAAATTTCACATTATAAAAAAAGAAAAATTATAAAATCAGAAGATGAATATCCGACAAATTGAAAAAATAAAGAAAATAAAAAATAATAACTAAAAATTGCAAATCAAAAAATTGAAGAAATGAAAAATTGAAAACTCGTGAAATCGCAAATCGAAAAATCGCAAAATCTCAAAACTGAAAGATCCAGAAGTTTGAAAATCGAAAAACTAAAAATTTTAAAATGAAAAACCTGAAGAAACGAAAAATTGAAACAACAAAAAATTATATAATTGGAACATCGAAAAATTGTGAAAATAAAGAAATTGAAAAACCGAAACGAATAACTGCAAATCGAAAATTTTAAGAAATGGGAAACTGAAGTCCAAAATTTGAAAAATTTTAAAAATCGAAAACTTGAGAAACTGTAAATCAAAAAATTGGAAATTCAAAAAATTGAAATAACAAAAAAATTGAAAAATTTTAAAAATTCTAAAATCCTAATTACTTAATTACTCCAAAAAAACAAACTCAAAATGGGAGTGAATGTGTTCGCAATCATGATTGAATTATAAGGTTCATCTTGAATAAATGGAATATGTTGTACCGTTTAATAAAATCGACATACGACAAAAAAAATTTTTGAAATATGTTGATTAAGTGTTAAACGGTATTAATAGATGTACTTTAACTAGAAATTATTCAGAATGACATATTAAAATAAGAAGAGAATATTTGTTTGTTTTGTTTCTAATTCCAGCACAATTTTCTTAATTATGGTGACATACTATCATCAATATCTAAACAGGTTCCAACATCTAATACATTTATTTAAATTGAAAACTTGTCGTACAAATTATTTAATGTATTCACTGTTAATTAACATGCTTGCGATAGCTAACAGTTTTTGCAGTAAATTTTTACAAGTGTAAAAGTCAAGCTCTTTGCTTAATTAAATCTAAATCTAATCTGTCAACAAACGTACCTAAAGTTGAACTATCGCGAATTTTCAGAAATGTAGCTCGCTACGCTCCTGAGTCAATATATTCACTGTTTGTAAAAATTTGTGAATTTTGTACAATTTCGCTTTTACGTTGTTTTTGTGTCAACCACACGGAAAAAAACAGTCGAACAGTTACTACGCAAAAAGTGACCATTTCTAACTCATCCACTCCACAATCTACATTCTGACAGAACAAAAGCGGATGTCAACGAACCGTGCGATCGGAATCACTCTGATTTGGATTGACCTTTCCGGGTACCTTTTTAATCTGACGCCATTTATTTCGTAGAAAAAGTCTTCTAAAAGTACAGTAGCAGCAGTGACATTTGGCCGTTAATCAAACACTTGTATTTTCTCAATAACTGTTTAAACAGTGTAAATCAGAAGCTGGAAAGTTGTATTTATTGGATTCGATTGCGTGCTATCACTGTTGTGATTACTAAGATTATGCACTATTTGCTTAATAAACGTATTTCTTTACGCAACAATTCATAACTGTGACATATAGCACAGAACTACTACATTATTATATTTTTTTTTACGTCTGCGTAAAGCAGTGGCCTGTAAATTCCCCCAAGGTGTAGCACCGGTAACCCGTCATATCTCCTCGCGGCTAAATTGGCCCCATGTCGCTCCTTGATTTAGCGAAATCAGCATCGACTTTTGGCATGTGTATGGAAACCACTGAAATATTTATTCACGATACCTGAAATATGTCAGCGGCGTTTAGAAGTAGGCTCCGAACACAGCTTCATAAATAATAAAAACGTATGCAACATGCTCCAGCTCGAAGATGCGGGATCATCCCGAGAGCAAGTTGCTTGTTGGACATGTTCCATCGTGCTGGCATTTTATGCGGGACCGACGCTTATTTTCAAATAAATCGTACCCATAGGCGCACAATTAAAATTGTTCAACTGTGACAGAATTTTTTCGCCGCTTTCAATCGCGAATCTAATAATTGAATGCAATTTGTCAAAATTTCACCGCACATAAATCAGGACAGTTTAGTCGTGCCTAGCTGCGTTTTATTGTGCAAAGAATGATCGATAAATTTTGATTATTTCCTAGGCGGATTTTTACAACGCCATTAACATACTGAACCAGACTTATAATTTGTTTAATTTGTCTGACGGGCCTCTTCCGACGACAGTTTTTGCGTTTTGGTGAGCTTGTTAGTTGAGTTTTACACCTCCGCGACTTCCTGTGCCGAATTTGCTCAATTAAGACTCGACTCCTTGGACCCGAAACCGTGGGCCGCCACTGGCGGCCGCAACCCCACAATTCTCCTTTATGGCGCATTATATTGTCGAATCCGCGTCACAACCCAATAAATCCCCTGTATATAATTGCGTTTTATTTTTTCAGGAGACGGCGGCTCTCACGTCGGATCTTCTTCAGGAGACGGTGAGTCATGTTTAATTTTTCAATTACGAATTCATCAATCTGTCAGGATAATTGAAAAGATGCTCTACCTGGCGGGCCAATTTTTTCTCGTGACCCTAATAGTTGGAGAAACGAAAACCGGTTGCGTAATTGATAATTTATTAATCAGTGGATTGGCTGCTTTAAAACAATGGCGAATGTCAGAACGCATGAAACTGATAGCATCGCCTCGACCAACGGGGTTGCGGTTAGTGCCTAACCAGCCAATTAACCGGCCCTAATTGTAATCGCCACGGTACATTTGTTTTGTAATTAGCCTATGAGCAAGATCGAACAAGCTGATATTATTGTTTAATTGTCAGTGCTGTTTAGATATTTGTCGGTGTTTGTTCAAGACTTCATAATGCGGGAACTGCATCGGTCAATGCGCTTTTGCATGCAAGTTTTTAAGTTAGAGTAGAAGAGGGGAATTTTCGCACAGCTAACAATATAGCTGTTTTGGGTTTTAAGCTTTGCGAACTCAATATAAAACTGTAAATGTACTGATTTTTAGGTGTAGTCGAAGATCCATAACTTCACCGCTAACAGAAATTAGAATCAGTTACTAAAATACTAGATCTGGAAAATCTAAAAAAAATCTTACAAAATAATATTTTCATCGGGATTAGAAACTGTTTTCTAGCATAACAAAATCTCTCTATTTATATTTGTAATCCCGAATTTCAAACTGTCAAATTTTAACTTTGAAATTATCAATTATCAAAAATTTGACGTTCAACTATCCCTTCCACAAACTTAATGACGTCATCTCAAAAGCTCAATAATTAATTCTTTTTTTTGCTAAATAAGTTTAGACTACTCTTTCAATATCGTGATTTTGTATTTTTTATCTTGTGATTTTTTTTAATACATTTGACACCTTTAAACCCCCAGAGTGTCCAAATTTTTTAATAATCTCCGTTTGTTTAAAGCGTAAAACACAATAAAGGTTGCGAAAGTGGTATTTTTCCCTTGTTATATTCAAAATCATAAAAAAATATTAAAAAATTTCTACTGGATTTTTTGGTGTCTGTCGCATTTTTGATTTTGTCGGAAGTATACTTTAAAACGGTGAATATATTTTCGATGGGCTAGCTTACATGTAGTATACGCCATTTTTCTAAGAGGCGGCACGATTACTACCTAACTTGATTTTAGAGTGGTGACTTTTTTCAGCCTAATTTTGAATTTGTAATTGTGTTCTACAAAAATTCAAAATATTATTTTTATTTTTGTATAATTAAAAAAAAAACAATATAAACTAAAGTAGACATGGACGCTTGTTATGATCTGTTGCAGAAATCATAATCATAGGAGCCCGTGAAGTTCTATTTAAATAAGTTGAAACAATTTTTCAAATACATCGTAAATGTGGTGATTTTTGAATTTTTAATTTTGTGGATTTTTCCAAAATGTGTGAAATTTTTAAAACCCGCAATTATCTAAACCCAAAATTTAGTAAAATTTTTAGTTTTCTACATGTATTCTAGCCAGTGGTAATTTTTAAAATTTTTGAATTAATAATAAAATTTTTATCTCCAAAATAGAGCACAACTTTTAAATGAAAAACCACATAATTTTGAAATTGTAGCAAATATTTTGATAGCGCATGAATTTAGTTTTTTTTTTAAAGCTTACTTTTATTTGTAGTATACGTAGGCACAATTAAGTTGGTTATAATTGTCAATTTGAAAATTATTTTTATTTTGCTGTTTTTTTATCTGCGTTTAAAAAAATTCAAACATTATTTTTATTTGTGGATAATTTTAAAAAACAGCATAGCATCCAGTAGACGTGAACTTTTGCTATGACTCATTTAAGAAATCAGTTTTTTGTGTATGATGCTTCAGAAGCGAGGAAAGTTCTGATTAAAGAGTTTTATAGTTTAATCAATTTTTCCAATATCGTAAATGTGGTGATTTTGTATTTCTACTTAATTTTCTCAATTTTTCCAAAGTATATGAAACTTGTAAAACCCGAAATTAGCTAAACCCAAAATTTAGTAAAATTTTTAGTTTTCTACATGTATTCTAGTAAGTGGTTATTTTTAAAATTGTTAAATTATTAATGAAATTGTTGTCTCCAAAATAGACCATTTTCTACATGTATTCTAGTAAGTGGTTATTTTTAAAATTGTTAAATTATTAATGAAATTGTTGTCTCCAAAATAGACCACAACTTTTAAATTAAAAACCATAAAAAGTTAGCTATTTATTTTCTTGGAATAGTGATTTAGTAGCAAATATTTTGAGAGCGCCTGAATTTAGATTTTTTAATAGCTTATTTTTATTTGTAGTATGCGTAGTTTTTCAAAGAGGCGGCACAATTACTACGTAAGTTGCTTGTAACTGTAAATTTGAAAATTACTATTATTGATCAGTGTTTCTTAACTGTGTTTAAAAAAAATCTGAATTTTTTATTTTTGTTTAATTTGAAAAAACAACAGCATCCAGTACCCGTGGACTTTTACTATGTTGCATTGAAGAATTCAATTTTTTTGTGTATGGACTTTTGCTTCAAAAGCGAAGGAAATTCTATTTAAAGAGCTACATAGTTTAAATAATCTTCCAATGTCGTAAATATGGTGATTTTGTATTTTAAACTTTGCGATTTTTTTCAAAGTGTGTGAAAATTTTAAAACCCGAAATTATCTAAACCCAAAATTTAGTCAAATTTTTAGTTTTCTAAGTGTACAACAGCGGTTGCTAAAATAACTGTCTAGTCAGTGGTTATTTTTAAAATTGTTAAATTATTACTAATAAAATTGTCTCCAAAATAGACCACAACTTTTAAATTAAAGGCCATACAAAAATTAGCTACTTATTTTCTCACAAAAGTGATTTTGTAGCAAATATTTTGATAGCGCCTGAATTTAGATTTTTTAAAAGCTCATTTCTATTTGTAGTATACGTAGTTTTTCAAAGAGGCGGCACAATTACTACGCAAGTTGCTTGTAACTGTAAATTTGAAAATTACTATTATTGATAAGTGTTTCTTAACGGTGTTTAAAAAAATCTGAAATTTTTATTTTTGTATAATTTGAAAAAACAACATAGCCAGTAGACGTGGACTTTTACCATGTTGCATTAAAAAATTCAATTTTTTTGTGTACGGTCTTTTGCTTCAGGAGCGAGGGAAGTTCCATTTAAAGAGTTTTATAGTTTAAATAATTTTTCCAATGTCATAAAAGTGGTGATTTTGCATTTTAAACTTTGCGAATTTTTCCAAAATGTGTGAAAATAGTGTATAAATTATCTAAACCCAAAATTTAGTCCAATTTTTAGTTTTCTAAATGGACAATAATAGGGGTTGCTAAAGTAACTATTCTAATCAGTGGTTATTTTTAAAATTTTTAAATTAATAATAAATTTTGTATCTCCAAAATAGATCACAACTTTTAAATGAAAAACGATCAAAAAATTAGCTATTTGTTTTCTCATAATTTTGATTTTGTAGCAAATATTTTGATAGCGACTGAATTTAGTTTTTCTTAAAAGCTTGTTTTTAATTGTAGTATACGTAGTTTTTCAAAGAGGCGGCACAATTACTACGTAAGCTGGTTTTAATTGTAAATTTGAAAATTATTATTATTATTGACGAGTGTTTTTTAACTGCGTTTAAAAAATTTTGGTTTTGTATTTTTAATTTTGTGAATTTTCCCAAAGTGTGTGAAACTTTTAAAACCCGAAATTATCTAAAACCAAAATTTAGTCAAATTTAGTTTTCTAAATGTAAAATGCAATAAACGTTGCAAAAATAATTATTGTAGTCAGTGGTCATTTTTTTGTTGATAATTTAGCTTCTTAGGGACAACATTGAATTATTTTTAATAACACCTGCACATGCTCGCTGCCACATGCTCGCTGCGCTCGCCTCCTAAGCTTCTGTTTTCCAGTTTAGTCTCCCAAAGCTGATTAAGAAAGAATCTTAGAGAAGTTCTTTAGACTCTAATATTTCTAAAAATTCTGTAAATCCTAGAAATCTAGAAACCCTGAAAACGCAAGGAATTCTAGAGACCCTTTAAACTTCAGAGATTTAAAAACTCTGGAACCGCTAGAAGCACGAGAAACTTTCGGAAATCCGAAAATCCTGGACATTCACCAAATCGTGAAAAGTTTGAAAAGTTGAAACATCTAAAAGCTCGTTAGTGCAAAAATTCTGGAAACCGAAAAAACTGTATTTTACAAACAAGAAAACTCTATAAGCTCCGGGAATAGTCGTATGTTTACAAATTTTGAAAATGTTAAAAGTTCATAACTCTAGTAATTGTCAAAATTTTATAAATGCTGAAGGTTGCGGATATTCTCTAAACTCCGGAAACTAGTAATTTTGGAGTGTCAGCTTTGAAATTTTTAGAACTTGACAAACTCTACTTTTTCTGAAAATTTTGTCCAGTTTTTTCCAAATATTCAAATTTTTGAAAATTATTCCATTTTTACTCGCGATAAACTAAATTGCTGGCTTTAAGTTCTAGAGTTCTGAATTATTAAATCCTGAATTTTAAGCTTTTACAAATATTGCATTTTCAAAAAATGCATGAACTCAAAGAAAATACATCTTCAAATTTTAAATCCCAATTTCTCGAAATCAATGAACCGAAATTCTTAATACTTAACTTTAACCTCTAGATTTTAGATTTTCAAATTCTAAGATTCTGGTATTCTAAATTTTTGAAATTCTAAGTTCCAAGATTTTCAAGATTCTGACTTACAGAATTCTGAATTTCAAAATTCTAAGTTTTAAAATTCCGAATTATAAGTTTATAAATTGCTGGTTTTTGAGCTCTGTAGTTCTGAATTATTGAATCCTGAATTTTAAGCTTTTAAAAATATTGCATTTTTAGAAAAATGCATGAACTCAAGGAAAATACATCTTCAATTTTAAATCTCAAATTCTCGAATTCAATGATCCAGTCTAGATTTTATTGTAATCATAATTCTATAGACTTATCACCGAAAAAAAAAACCTTTAGAATGCGAGCG